TTCAACTTTGGAAATGATCATGCAGACAATGGACTCCGGACTAGGTGCGTTCCGCTAAGTCTTCCTACCATGTTGCGAAAACAAGGTCAAACAACTTATACATTACTTATTTTTCGTTTTAGAGGCTACCATTGGATCGTATTCACCATATTTCAGCTAGCAGTTCTTTATCACTGGCGAAATAGGGCGAATACATCTCATATATAATCTATTGGTAGTAATAACAGCCTACTTATAAATGAAAAAAAATTAGAAAATCAGAGTTTATGGATCAATTTACGAAACTGGCCATGAGATTGAATCATTTTCAACTTGTTATTTTGCTGCATATGCTTTCTATACCAGTAACCGTTAAATTAGGAGAGCTATCGAAATGGACAAATAAGACAACATATTCAATGCCGGTAAAGTTGGTAAAATGCTAAGTAAGGACTCTTTATGATTAATTAATAGATTTACAGACAATGCTTTTATTGAGCCGCCTGGAATTAGGAGTTTACTTAACTGGTCTTTTGTTGATTGTGGTTCTAATTACGATCACATTTTACATATATATTTGTTCACTATTGCTCTCCCATACACACAAAAACTCATTAAAGGCAGACAAATGTCCGACATGAGTCGGATAAAGTTATTATTGAAATTTCTTCTAATTGGGGTGTTAGTCATTATACCATGATGATTGAAAACAGGTTCTACGTTCTGTTCTAATCACTTTGAACTTTCACTATTGGTTTTGTGCCTGTACATATAAACGAAGGTACATAAGCACTAATCATGCACACGCACATTTTTTATATTGTCACATGACATGAACTATTAAAATTATAAATGCATTATTAAAACAAATTATAATGCATGGTTTTAGGGAATGAGCTGGTGAATCTTCTTGACTCGCTACCTTGGATATTGTTGTAAGACTGATTCCCTGCTGGGATGATTTCTAGCTTAGGACAGACGTAAGCCTAGCATGTCATTTAGTGGCTTCGAAAAAGATTGTCTCGCGGAAAGCGCAAGCATGAATATTCCAGTTAATTGTTGATCTTACTTCCATTTCGAGTGAAAGTGTTGGGTGAAGTGATTCGAAGGTCGGTCCCACCGACGACGGTGGATTACTCTTGACCAGCTGTCGATTGGCTTTACTAGAAAATTCATGCTGACGCTGTTTCCGAGGTAATCTCCTTAGATTCCGATAAAAAGGTCCGTCATGACGAAAATCATCAGAGCAAGATATCTTTACAACCAAATTCAAGCTAACGAGTCAAGAAAACTCGTTAAACCTCGGAAACAACGTCAGCATAAATCTTCCAGTAAAGCCATTCTACAGATGGCCAAGAAGAATCCGCCGTCGTCTTCTGGTGGAACCGACCGGAGAATACCTTTTGGGTAGAAAGGCCGAGTAAAATTAAATGACATTTTGCAGCCTACTTATCACATTTTAGGAAAACTCATCTTTAGCCTGTCATCACCTTACCAGGCCTAGGGTGACTAAGGCTCTTAGTTTAGGAGCTTAAGCAGCACTTTTGGGAACATAAATTGTGCTCTGATGGCATAACAACATATTCTATGCTTTTTAATATCATCAAATTATGCCCCTCAAACTGAGCCGCACACAATCATGTTATCCTATTTCTAACTCTGATTTTGCTAATAAAGTGCAAATGTGGCATCATGGAGGTAGTGCACTTCCAGAAGTGTCAATGTGTGGGTACCTTTATCGTTGACAAGTCGATCGTGAGGACCATCACTCTCTGATAAAGGCTAGCTAACGAAATGCCCTATATGGGGAAAATTATTTGTAAATAATGTACCTGTACCTGCTCGATTATTACTTTGGGGATTCGTAGATATGAAGACCAAGATGTTGTGGCATCTCTTTTGGTCGCAGTCTCCTATTGACTTATGGAAGTGGTCTGACCTTATTTTCGCAACCTGTGGGCGACCTGTCCGAAGTCCTCTGCAATAGTGTTTGTTGTGACCATGTTTTCGCAACTTGGTCGCAGCGTCAGTGCGACCTTGTGGAAGATAGCTAGTCCCGTGTCCTCTGCCATAATATTCGTGATTTCCAGCATTGGACCATTGGCTGGGTACATTCCAAAACGTTTTTTCGGCATCCTTAGTGAGAGGCGCCATCGTAAGCACAGAGTTACAACTTATAAAAGTGACAAGTATATATGATAATTCACAGCTCTGGATCTTGAACTTGGTGCATTTCTCAGTAGTCATATTAGACAAAATGGCTAGCTTTCGCATCTATCAGCTAATTTGATTACCTACTTTGTGTCATTAAATTTAACTTGGAATTGCCTCCAGAAGGTTTTATTACCTCGTTTGATCTTCTTCAAAACTTGTACAAGGATTCAAGACAGCGCAGTTCGCGTTGCGCGCTAACACATGACCTGACCATCGAGTTATGACCTGTTTGTTGCCTCTTGTCATACACGTCGCTATTTAGTACCCCGTTTCCGCTGTCTACTATGGCGAGGCCTGCGCATTTTTTTGTAAGCGATTCATTTATCTGGTCCTAAATGGGCTTACTTTGTAGAAGAGGTTCTGCCAAGTTTCGAAAGTTACTAAATCCCTACATAGTCATATAATCGAGTATACTCCTGTTTACTTACAGCTGTGCATGTAGGGGAGCCTCATTTACACAAATTTTTATCTGCCATGTGATGCACTGGTCGAATTTTGCCTTTTGGCGCGCACGACCCAATTGAATGTTTTGATGAGGCCCGGGCAGGCTCAGCATTGCAGTCTATCCTGAATGAGAAGTGCTTTGGGAGGGAAGGCTTGATGAAATTTAGTGGCTTAATGAGGCCTTCTATTTATTTAATTGTAGAAGCAATGTATATATGTATATATATATTTATATAATTTTTTGTCCGCCTAGTTTAAGTTACAATAATGCAGCAAGAGCAATAAAATAATAAAAATGATGACTTGAATACCTCTTATTTAAATACTAATCTTTGGATGGAAGTCCTGAATGTGGGTGCAAGAGAACCTACTTGGAATAATTTTAATTTTTGAAATATTCCATCTTTAGCCTCTCCCGAAGATTCGCATTATCCCAATACAACATTGTGTTTAGCCCTAATCTCGAACTCCTAATCTACTTAGACGATTATTTTGTACATCTTACGTGATCCGCCTAGGCTAAGCCTTTCTTTTGAATCATCTGAGATCTCCAATGAATCAATTTCCTCATTTTGATAGTTTTACTTTTAAACTATTCGTTTTGAAATAATCTTCACTAATTTCCGTTATTGAGTAGGTTTTCGAGACTACCAGTAGATCAGGTATGAGTTGTATTCACTCTATTACGTTTAATGTAATCAAGGACTAGTAGTTGAATTTTCCGACAATGATATAAGTACAAAACCACATCTCTCCAGTGACCCAAGGGTAATCGTGGCAATGTTGCATAGTGGTTAATATGTCGAGATTACACGCTGCATTGTCATGTTTCGCCTCCCACTGGATGTGTTGGTAAGATCTAGGCGAGGTAAAAACTGCTGTCCACCCTGGATACGAACAATTTTTGGGAAAGCAAGGCTATGCGAAATTTATTGGAAAGGTTAACTCTACTCAAATCATTGTGGGAAAATTCAATTACCAGTAATTCATCACCTTAAACGTAATAGTATGAACACAACTCATAATCTCCACTAAGCCAACAACGTTTTAGATTCCCTAGCTATTTTTTTCGTGACTTTGCCTTTGACCTTACTATAATTATGTACGTTTAAACTACTTGTAAGTGTTTTTCTGTCATGTGGTTTGTTTTGCTTTGTCCATTTGAACTATGGCTGTCTCGTCGTTATTGGCGAACCAGGTCCTCTATGAAGGTATATAAACATCCACATGGAAATTTCGATAACTACTTTCAAGCTATTGTTTAAAATGTTTAGTACACAATTTAAATAAGCGGTTTCCTAATAATTATTTATATATTTCTATTCCATTCGTATCTTAAATATTTGTATGGTTTAGTAATGCTTATGGTTTTATATGCTATTCCCCTCAGAATATTTCGCGCACAGCAATTCGACAGCAGCCAGCGCAACTTCACTCTTTCTCAGGCTATCTAACAGATTGTCTGTTACCTGGACCTGTCAGTGATGTAACCACCATCAACGCCATCCTTCCTGCTGGTTCTTCAGTGAGCCGTTTCAACCCCCAGCTCTCCTTGTGGGCTCGAACTCTTAATCGTTCTCCTTTGTGGTCTTCATCCTTTCGGACGGATATCAGTTCACCCCCTACTTCTTACTCGGACAGACTTGGATGGCTTGACCATCTTTTAGATGTATTCGTTGCCAAAGAAGCATTCTATCAAATTCTCGTCTTCTCAAGCTCCTTCTTAGAAGAAAAGCCTCTTTCTGATTCACATCTTCCCTCTCCTCGCTTTTGCCTCTATCCTGCTCCAACCATTGATATAAAAAGTAGACAGTCATCTCAGAAGGAATTCCGTGAAGTTGGGCCATGTCCTACTTCTCTTTGCTCTGACCCATTTTGGCTACTTGCCCATTTGGTGGTTCATCGTTTGCGTGTAGAGAACAGGGTTTGCTCTAGAGCCACACGTGAATATTTTGGGACCAACAGTGGACTTGAAGCCTGCTCAAACGAATCAGAGGAAGGAAGTTGGAGCGAAGCGGATCGAGGTTATTCAAAAGCCATATCTTCTGCTTCCTGGTTCCCGTCTGTTGGTCGTATGGCCTTGCATTCCTTGCTACCTTTCGACCATAAGGGCACTACCTTTTCAGCGAAAGAATCACATTCATCTTTCACTTCTTCGCTGCCAGAAAACACCGTAACTTGGGCATCACGGATCTATCACCATGTAGGGCTGTTCGCTGTAGACTTGCTGCTGGCTAAATCGGCAAATTTCACTGACTATGGTTCTTTGCAGGCTTCTGAGGCTTCTCTTGCTCGTATAGAGGAGATACTTGAGCGTATTCTTGTAGGTTTGTTGCTGAGTGTCTTTCTTTGTGTTCCCATGTTTTAATTTTTTGTTATCAGATTGTCTTATTTTATCTTAATGACTAAAACTTCAATTTCATTTTAAGGGAAATTTCTTATCTCTTATCTGGTTAGCTTCAGTTGAAATTGATCACTCTGATTCTCATGACAATACATATTTTGCATTGATGCAGCAAAGCATTCTTATCTCACTTAGTGTTACTCCTACTTTATGTAGAAACTTTTAGAAATATGCTGTTACATGTCCGGTATTCTGGCTGATAATAGTGTATACTTGAAAGCACCCTTTTATCTTGGGCCTAAATAAGATTCGTTATCATTTCACCAAGGCCCTTGTGGTATTTTCATAGTTTACAGTAAGCTAACATTATAATTACTTTGCAAGGTACACTATAGGTTGATATAAGGAAGCAATACAGCGTTCTTTTG